TTCTTGTTTGTGTGTGTGTGTGTGTGTGTGTGTGTGTGTGTATGTGTGTGTGTGTGTATGTGTGTGTGTATCTGTGTGTGTGTCTGTGTGATAGAAAGAGAGAGCTTATAAAAAGAGAGCAAGAGAGAGTGTGTGTTTTTTGTGTGTATACGTGTGTTTATGCGTGTATGTATCTGTGTGTATGTGTATAGGCATAATTGATGGGGGCGGGAAAGGTGTGGTTACTTTGTGTCAGTGGCAAATTGTTTCCCTATCTTCACTGCGTTATTTTGAGCCTTTTCTATGCAATGCAATTGTATGTTTACTTCAATGGCACCTCGTGTAAACTACAAATATTGTTTTTATCATTGATGCACCATTAACTGAAAATGTCTATTTTCTCTGTGAGAGTGTCAAATAAGAGTATTTTTAGATACATATTCTTGTTACACTAAGCTCATTTGATTGTTATGTGTACATTTTAATTTGAGTGGGCTATAAATATTCTTTATTCTCACTCAACAGCACAATTTCGAGCAATCAAAAAAGTGAGCCTGGCTTCCCTCCTGTGTACTGTGACAAACCTAGAGACAGTGCCAAAATCGCCTTTTGAAACTGTGTCCTTTCGGTAAGACTGCTATTTGCAATAGCATTTCAGTTCGAATAACTTTTCCTGAAAAACTGACTAAAAACCACGATGCTAATTGTAGCTTCGTTTTACCATTTTGGTATACATGAACTTTGAAGCGCCCGGAGAGCAAAGGCAATTGAAATTGCAAGGTTTGAACTAGTAAGGTTTTTACAATGTTAAGAAGGAAATCAGTGTAAGGGAGTAAAAATTGTAAAGAAAACAAAAAAACCAAGTTAATTTCTCTACTTCGTGTTTTTGCTTTGCCTTTTATGAAACATGTCACGAGATACAATAATCATCCAGTGCCAGATGTGCGACAGACATCGGCGATCATGGTTCTACATTCATTCCTTTGCTCGTATGCTCTTATAAAAGCTACGTTTCCCTGATCTTTTTCGGCTACCCATTTGTGTCCTGTTTGATAAAAGATTCAGTTAAAACTCTTGGTTTTCTGTGATGACATTCCCTTCCCTCTCCCCAAAAAAAACCCATCCTTTCTGAAATCTACCTTTTCCTCTTTCACGCTCTCTCTACGCACACACGTTTATATGCAATACTGATTTATTATCCACTGTTTTAATCGCCCACCCGTTTCTTCATGTTTACTCATTAATTCTTTCCTTTTATTTTTCGTTGGTGCACAAAATAGCTGATTAATCAATTCATACGTTTACTCACTGTGCGTACTCTTGTGTTGTTGTTGTTGTTGCTGCTGCTGCTGCTGCTGCTGCTGATGATGATGATGATGATGATGATGATGATGATGATGATGAATTGCTTCTTTTTGAGTTCATGTTTGTAATTGGTGTTTTTTGTTTTTGTTGTTCTATGCAAGGGAGAAGAGGGAGAATATTGCTGGGGGGTTTTAAGCCTGGAATTTTCTTATTAGATAGCAAATTCTAATTCATGATAAGGAGTTCCTTACTGAAGAAAATCTACGCTTAGGGACACTAAGCTGTTACAGCATCAAAATCCATATTAACAGTCGAATATGCTCTAACAGCCACCTGTATAAGACAATCACCTGTACATATAGCCACGTCCTATTTTCTCCCTTGAGTATTTTCACGTTTTGATAACACTGTTTAAGACGTCCACCTGTCTAAGATAACCACTGTTCTCCTTGTCAATGAGGACTGTCTTAAACAAGTTCGACTTTATTTCATAAGACAGCAACCAAAATGACATAACAAACACAAGAACATCAACAGCAATAACAGCATCATCAATAAGAGCACACCATCACCACCACCACCACCAACAACAACAACAACAACAACAACAACAACAACAACAACAACAACAACAACAACAACATCCGCATTCTGTCGAACAATAACAAAAATACATTTTTAAAATATCAACAACAACAACAACAACATTCAGTACAACATCAACTTCAATATAAAAAACAACAACAAACATCAACATCAACAACAACTACAAACAAATGTCAAAACTTCTTCGTTCTCATCCCTGACAACAACAGCTTTATGTCTTTTTGCTTTGTTCTCCACAGCAACAGAGAATTGTCCTGCACCGATGTTCCTAGCCTTGACCTTGGCCACTGGATGAACCCAGTTCCTTTGTGAACAACATTCGGCAGAAACAGAAATGTTGTACAAGAAAGTGACCTACCAAACTCTTCGTAAATGGTGACAGAGAGTTCACGGACAGATCATGGGGGCGCTGATTCTTCAATAGTCACCGAACTTTTTCCAAATGTATTTTTGTGGGGAGTCTGTTTATTTATCTAGCTATCTGAATTATCATTTATTAATTTGTTTGTTCACAATTTGTTTATTTGTCTATCTATTCAAATCATCTTTACGCTTACCGTTTTAGGATTTTTCTATCCTTTAATCTATTTAACCTTTCTATCAGTTTGTTCATTCATTTGGTTGTGAAGTATATTATTTGAGCCTGTCTTTTGATAGAAATATCGCAGACGAGGATTGTTGTTGTTTTTTTTAAGTTGTTGTTGTTGTTGATTGGGGTTTTGTTTGGAGAGTGTGTTGTTTTTTAGGGGGGAAGGTTGTTGGGTTTTTTTTATATCTTTGAGGGGGTGCTTTTTGTTTTATGAAATTATACTTAATGTTTTTGTCACGTTTTGCACTGCAATCTTCGCGTGTTTCTCTCTCTCTCTCTCTCTCTCTCTCTCTCTCTCTCTCTCTCTCTCTCTCTCTCTCTCTCTCTCTCTCTCTCTCTAAATATGGAACGCGCATTATTTTGATGTTTGCTACCACGGTTCCAACCCGAGTCAGGAATTTCTCAATGTATCCAGGTATTGACTCCACTTTTACATTATCTTCTGTTTATGAAGGTTTGGGTTGTTTTATTACTAGAAAAACACTACCAGGCCCAGGTGTGTTTACCTTTTAGTTATATTGTATCTCTTACTTACTGAACCGACTCGAAAAAAAATTGTCGTCTGTGGTGCAGCGTTTATGCGCTGGGCTGTCACACGCGGGAGACCCAATTTCGATTCCCGAGTAGGGAGTATTTTTATCGACTATCTTCGCCTCTCTTTTGCGATATTGCCCTCACGGGTAGGGTCGAAGCCTGCCTCCTACCGTATCTATTATTGTGTCAATCGGGGTATAAAAATGCAAACATAAAAAAAGACCGTGAAAAGGTTTAAATACAAACCAACCTGATAGCATTTATCATAACAGTTCCTTCGAGGTCAAGTTTACATTTTCGAATAAAGTATGCGCTAAATGGCAAACCTGTAGAACCAATCCAACAGACAGCTCGTCTTGGGGTAACTAAAAGCATTACGTCAAATGTATACGAAATTATCAATGGAAAGAAAATTTACGAATGTGTGAATTCGATAAAGGTCGTGAACACATCAACATGACTATGAACTTGTAACGCAGGGGAAAGCAAGACAGACGAACAGAAAAAACAGAGGGAAATAAAGAAGTAGAACCTACCCTGGCGTCCTCTGAACGCTAGCACGTAATGTGTTGGCAAATTGGAAATTAATTATGTTGGGGTTTATTTTAACCACAATTTCTTTCACGTACTGTTTTTGCAGAGAGGAAATCAAGGCTGGGCAGTCAAATAAAACGTCTTTGTGACATTTTTCACAGCTCTCTATTATTGTTCGCATTGATTGTTGTTCAAACTCCACTAGTGTGTCGAGGGTAATATTGTACCGTAACAGACGGACAGCTTCCGCTCCAGCAGGAGATAAAACAGTACCCAGGTGAAGCCGTGATGATTTCTCCTTATTTTGGTCTTCTGCGCTGTGTTTTCTAGCATCCTTTTTATTACGTCTTTCATCTTACCACAGTGCCATTCGCCTCACCTTAGAAAGGTCCTAAGCATGGCTGGTTGAAGGTACAAGCATGTCTGTATGGATACAGTGGCCTCTTTTGCGTGCAATGGCGAAACTCCTAATGGCTACTCTGGCGCCATTTTTAGGGTCTACATTTCACTCTACAATGGCTTTAAATGTAACAATTCACCTGACACTTTAGGGCCTTTTCCATGTCTGTCTTGTAGCGAAATCTCTTGAAAGGAACAGACGTGCAAACTCATCAGATGGCCTTTCTCATAATTTCTTTGCTGCAAAATAACCTAAATGAAAAGTCTGTTCAAAAACATCTGTTAACACTTTCTCTAATTCATTTTTGTTCCAGATTGCTTAAAGAAAACAAACGCATCACTATGGATACAGAGCCTTCACGCAAAACATTAGTCCAAAGACGCAGATTTACTTACAGTTGCAGTATCGAACGAAACGCACGTTAACAGTACAATAAATACCAACACAAGCATGGATTCACTTTCGAAACATGGAAAGATTTTAATTGCAAACCATGGAATTTGAAAGTCTGAAAATATAATTCGAAATAGAACATCAACGAGGTGGTAACGCTTTATTACAGACAGGATAAATTTTTAAAGGATTATGAGGTTGACTGACCATAGTACCCATGACAAACTTAAAGACATTGTTATCTTCGTTTATCTAATAGATGTGAAGCATTGTGAAAACTATATTATTATATTTTTTACTTTTGCTTTCCTAAATTTTGTCTAGTTCCTTGAGTTTATCCACAGCTAATTATTTTTACCATGTTTTCAATATTTCAACATTTTGACCCCTAGACATACTATTACCATAACTTTTTCTTCTTAGGAATCCCCAAGCTCTTGCTCTGAAGGTGTTTAGAGCAGCGCACGAAAGGAGCCTAGATATTGGAGTGTTGATGAACTCGGAAAAAATGGGGTGGAGGGGGAAGGGGAGAGAACGGAAGGGAAATCACTAAAGATCTATTGATTTAGGCCTGCAGAACTTCATTCAGGACAGAAACACACAACATAGATACGTGACATAAATACACAACATAAATACACAACTCAAACAACTGACAAAAATACACTACACATGACATATGACATAGGCTTAAACACACAACATAAAAAACGCCAAATAAGTACACCACATAAATACAGGACATGGAACATTAATAAACGACATGCATACGAAACATAAATGCGCGGCATAAAAAAAGACAGACGACATAAATACATATCTGCGCGACAAAAACGCACGACATAAATAATATATTATGACAAAAATACAAGACACAAATACACTACATGAATGCAAGACTACCCAAAATGTGGTTACAGGCAATGTGCTCATCGTTTTAGTCTGCGTTTTAGATTCCTCTCGATATTCCTATCTGTTTTTTAAATTGGTCCGGGATGCTTTTGCCAAAGGCGGGATGTACATATTATGAATACTACCAAAACAAAGCTTTTACATTCAAATGATTATATAAATTAGATAGATAGATAAGGACATGTTCAGCAGCAGCAGCACCATCATTAACTCAACAGGAACAGCATTAATAACCAAGGCAACATCAGCAAAATATTAATAACTGCGGCATAAAAAATAAAGCAACAAAAACAAACAAAAAACTGACAACGATAAAAATAATAATTATTATTATATTATTATAATGATAATAATAATAATGGTAA